CTTAGAAATGAAAAACTGTAAGGAAAAATTCTTAATGGTGTCATTATTTTGAAATTCTTTATTCAGTCCTTTGCCTATTGTAACTGATTTGGAAAGTGATGGACAAACAGGTAATGCTATAAGATAATATTAAAAATATGTACATGTAACTAGTTAATGCAGTCAACATTCACAGAATTGGCCTTGTTGTCATTAAGATATTTTTCTTACCACAAAATGAACTCCCTACATGTACCTGCATGTGTGCTTTGTACACTTCTTAGAAGACCTCATCTTTACCTAGGGAAGGATGACCATTTTTTATTCCATGGGCTATAGCCTTATGTATTTTTATTCTTATTCTTTATAAGAATAAACTTTAACACAGACAAAGTAGCCCCTTTTTACTTAAATGTACATGTACATGTATATTTTAATTACTTGTTTCTCTTCTCTTCCTCCCTCCATTACTAGATGTTATACTAGTCAGTGCTGATAAGATACTCAATGTATACTCACGCCATTATACACCTTCTTATCTTGGACACCATGGGATCAGACACAGTAATAAGAATGTAAGAGAGAGGGAGAGGGGGGGAGGAGGGAGGGAGGGAGAGAGAGAGAAGAGAGAGAGGATTAAGATGTTTTGTTTAGGTGTCATTGTCAAAGACATCACATGTTGTTGCTATGACAACCGGTTTCCTACAACCATACCAGTCAGTGGTACAAGTACGCAAGCAGGTTAGGAGAGAGAGAGAAGAAGAAATACATGTACATATACATGTTCTCATGTATTTATTTATTTATATTAGGTCATAGCAGTACTGTATTCTGATTGGACGCTCAGTTGTTATAATCACAACCTCAAACTGATGTGGAGCCAAAAACTGAACGAAAAGGAAATCCCAATTTCCAGGTGACGACAGTATTCTAATTAATGCACATCTTTAATTAATATTGTAATAACTGTCCCCTCCTCTTATAGTGAAGCTAGTTTGTTAGTGTCGGCCATTAGCATCAAGAAGAGTCCAGCTGGAGTTATACTAGTAGGAGGAAGAATTAATGGAAACTATGACAATAATAATAATAATGATAATATTGGAGGAGATAGTGATAAGAGAAGGTAAGAGGCTTAGAGGGAGAGAGAGAGTGAAATTGAATGCTGCACATATTTTATTATTTTCAATGTTTATTTGTGATAGGATGAGAAGAGGAGCAGAACAGGAAAAGATGGAGCATCAAAAAGTAAAACATTTTGTACTTTATAATAGAATTTTAATTTGAATACATGTACACATATTTTAAGTTTTACATTTTAAATATTATTAAATTACATTATTATTATTATTATTATTATTATTATTATTATTATTATTATTATTATTATTATTCTTTAGTTGGAGTCGTTGGGTCATTATTGTACTTATGCTGTTAGCGGTAAGACTGGTGAGTTGCTATGGAAACACGAACCAGGAGACTTTGAGGTCCATCCTGCATATGACATTGGATTATCATCATTCACAGTAAGAGTATACTAATGTATCATTATTATTATGTACTTACTTTATGGAGAAATACAATTACCTGTAATAGTTAGCAACAACCCACCAAAGACATTCATGTACATAT